GCAGAATGGTTTAAAATGTAGCAATTTATTTCTTAAAACTGTTAATATCCCACAGTAGTAGAATACATAATGCTGGGGCAGCTTTTTTTTTTAATACTCTGCTTCTCTTAGCATATGGACACAGACAACAATATGCTGAAGGTCTAGAGGAAGTGGGGGCAGGGTGGGAGAGGCCAAGGAGGTGAACTGGGGGGCATCTGTAATAGAGTCAACAATAAAAAATGTATCTGCTTCTGAATTTCTCAAATAATGAAAAAAAACCCACCTACATTTACTGTGTTCATAAATAAAATTATAGAAAGAAATTTTTTAATAAACAAAAACAAAAAATAAATTAAAAGATCAATAAATAAAATTATAGAAACAAAATAGAAACTTATTTGTTTATAAATTTACCCAAATAAAAATAGTAAGAAAGAAAAGATTTTTTTTAATTCGCCTTTAAAATTATGGTAGTCCCAGTTCTGATTCTAAGTTGCTGGATTCTAAGTTTTGCTCCTCCCTGTATTAATAAATATTTGGACTTGAATGACATGACTGGCTGTAATTCCTCTACTGTATATGCTGGAAACAAAAGAAGGGCTTGCAGGGCATTCCTAAATATCACTTTTTAAGAGAGAACTAGGATATAAAAAAGAAAAGAGGGGACAAGTTGAAACAGAACAGCAAGATCAACTGAATTCTTCACGAAGATAGTCTACAATGGGATTTGTTTTCGTTAACTTGACTCAGCCTTCTTTAAGTTGCCAAAGACACAGCAGCACACATCTTTCCTCCTCCTCGCCCTGGATTGGTCTCCAGAATAAATCTGGTGAGCTGTGACAGCACCAACCAGAAGCAAAGGGCCTTGAAAGATTGTAGGGTCATACCAAGAACCAAGAAAGGAAAGCCTAAATAAACAAGAGAGAGAAAAAGCCACATAGCTTGCTGAATTTCTATCTAAGGCATGCTTCTCAGTGGATTTTTCTACCAATGATTATTAGCCTGATAGATCTTGGCTGTTTCTGATTATAGAAGTGTTAGCACAGGGAGGACATTTTTATTTTTAAAAAAAGTTTTATAGTAAATTAAACTTTATTACTGTTCTTAAACAGATAACCAGTAAAGCTTAAATAAGTAGTTTTTAATGTAAAGTCAAATCAAGTGGCATTCATGGATGCCCCACTACATTTCTTTAAGAAATCATGTAAGTGAATTAATTGTCTTTAGTCATTAATTATTTGAAAAAGTTTTAAATGATATGTCCTAAAACTAATGTTGAAAAAGCAATTATATAAAGGTTGAAAAACAAACATTTCTAATGGGTTCAAGAATATTCAAAATTAACAAAAAAATAAATATTTTAATTTATGAATTATTTATAGCTTCTTACATTACCTAACTCTTAAGGCCCTTAAATTATTAAATATTCAAGTAAACATATTTAATATTTCTGTATGTTTTTAAAGACCATTTAAAGGTTTCTAATTTTTACTTTAACTGGTGAAATGTCTAGTGGGATAAAGAACAGAGCAGGCAGATCTAAGAAAATACTGGTGAAACCACATTTTTAAAAACACTCTGCATCTTCTATTTACTCAACTCTCTAAAATCTGGTTTTTCAAAGAAATCTATTAAACACACTTTTACTTAAGACCACTAATGAGTTCCCTTGACTTTTATGCTGCATTTGATAGTATTGTATACTTACTCCTTAAATATTTTCCTCTCTTGTTGGTGGAACCAATGTCTCTTACATTTATGTATACTTTTCTAAATTGGCTTCTATTTTCTACTCATCTCATTTTTGTATTTTTCAAAGTTTGGGCCTCTAACCATATGCAGCGGAAATACCTGAGCTTCACTCCGGACCTACTGATTCAGAACCCATGGATATGAGTTCCAAGCTCCCCCACATGATTCAAGTGTGAGAATTACTGTTTTAAATGTTGACCCAGGAAGTGGCCTCCATGGCACGGTGACTGAGAGTAGATCCATGAACCAGGAGGTCACAGTTCTATTCCCAGTGGGGGCACATGCCTGGGCTGTGGACTTGATCCCCAGTTAGATATGTGCAGGAGGCAGATAATCAGTGATTCTCTCTCCCTCTTCTCTCCTCTCTGAAATCAATAAAAATATATTTAAAAATATAAATGTTGACTCAGGAAATCCTGTCACTGGTCCTCTTCTACCTCCACCTGTTACATGTGCACAATTAAAATTACACCCAAAATTTCCACTACTTACAGCTATCGATAGGATTATAAACTGCCATCCTTCCCCCTGCCAGCACCTATAATCATACCTGACACAAAAAGTATTTTTTTATGAACATGAAGACTCTCAAACCTGCTTTTTCAAACAAGATCTATCCTTTTTAGATGTCATATCTGCATATGAAGCTCTCCAATGGACATGTCCACCTGGTTGTCCTAAAGCTATCCTGAATCAGTTAGGATTCAGTTTAGCTAACAATAACAGAAAAGCCTTAAAAAACAGAGGTTTATATAACATAGAATTTTTATTTCTCTCAGATAAAAGTATGGAACAGGCTACGGTAGTATAAAAATGTTGTTCTACCAAGTTCAGAGACTCTGAGTCCTTTCTACTTTCCACTCCACTATGCCTAGAATATGGTCCCCGTTTCATGGTCTGCGATGAAGCTCCACCCAAAACAACCACAGCTCTAGCAGCAGGATAAAGCAGGAAGAAGGCAGAGGAGATGGGTACATTCATCTCTCTGTAACACACCTCCTGGAAGTAGAACACACTGCCTGTACTTTTATTCATTGACCAGGACTTAATCTAATGATCACATCTAATTGCTAGAGAGGTTGTAAATGTAGTCTTTATGTTAGGCCAGTGGTCGGCAAACTCATTAGTCATCAGAGCCAAATATCAACATTACAACGATTGAAATTTCTTTTAAGAGCCGAAAACCGACTTCTGTACATGGACCATGAAGTTTCAATGGCACTGTACATGCACATCCACACAGGGTATTTGTGGAAGAGCCACATTCAAGGGACCAAAGAGCCGCATGTAGTTCGTGAGCCCCAGTTTGCCGACCACTTTGTTACGCATCCAACTTGTATTACTAAGAAAAAAAAAGGGAGACCAGATACTGGAGGACAATAGCATTTGCAGCCACACATCCAACGTCACTATGTCACAAACTGAGCTGTCAGTTTTCAAGATAAACTGTAATTTTAACCTTTGTGATGTGTCTGCTCTACCTTTATCTCCATTCCCCTTGACAAACTTTTTCTCCTCTCTTAATAGTCTTATCATGAGTCTTTTTGTGAAGCTTTTCTTTAACCAACCACTTTTACCTCCAGCCTAAACAGACTGGATACCTTTGAACCAACTTCATATCTAGCATACATCTCTATTTTTACATTTTTAATTCTGTATCATCTTTTTAAATCTATCCCTCCATTCATTCCTTTCCCAATAGAAAACAAACTTCTTGAGGACATAGACTATGCCTCACTTATCTTAGTATCACATGCATATAGGTATGTATCATACTAAATTTTACAAAAACCAATCATTAATGTCTGCTTCCTACAAATATGGCAGTAAGAAACTGGTAAGAGGTGTCTAACAAAAAGAACATCATGGTATGTAGTATTATATTAAAGTCCCAAATTACAATAAATTCCCCCTTTATCTGTGGTTTGCTTTCCATGGCTTCGATTACACATGGTCAACTCCAACCCAAAATATTAAATAGAAATTCCAAAAATAAACAATTCATATGTTTTAAATCATGTGCCATTCTAAGTAGCATGATAAAATCTCACATCATCCTCTTCCTACACAACCAGGACATGAAGCATCCCCTTGTCCATCATCTCCATGCTATATATGCCACCCACCATCAGTCACTTAGTAGCCATCTCAGTTATCAGACTGACTGCCATGGTACCACAGAGCTTGCGTTCAAGCCACCCTTATTCTACTTAATATCCTCCAAATGCAAAAGTAGTGATGCTGGCAATTCAGATATGTCAAAGAGAAGCCACAGAATATATGTATGTATAGGAAAAAACATAGAATATATTTTGCCAATATCCAAGGTTTTAGATATCCACTGGGGGTTTGGAACATATTCCCTACAGATAAGAAAGGACTAATGTAATACAGCTACATGCACTTATCTCCACTCCCCTCCTCCACGCAGCTTACCTACAAATTTTCTACACCATTTTTCTCTTTTCTGCTATAAATAAATGTAGTGAGGTAAATTTTAAGTATGTTTACATTTGATTCCACTAATAAGTTTATATTTATCTAAGGCCAATGAATGGGTTATGTGCATGGACCCCTCTTAAATCTCAGCAGCTATTCCATTCTCAGAAAACCAGGTTAGGCATGCCTACGGCCTTGGAAGAGTCACCAAAAAAAGTCCAATGTTTTTATGACTTTTCTCTGAAAAAAAATATCCAGAAAATCATAGTATTCAACTTATGAAACACATCACAATGGATAAACCCATGACTAAAATAGCATACTAATTAATCTATGATGGCTTCCATAGGGTCGAAAGGTTCACTGATGGGTAGATTTTACTTAAGACTATCAATATCAATTTAATTGTAAAATGACCAAAATCATGTAAAACGTGCATGTAATAATTGTTATGCCCAACCTTTTAAATTCTATCTTTTATATATAAACAATGGAATACCACATGTAATTTTAAGTTTAATATCAACTATCAAGGAAACTGAGAACCCCAAAATGTTTATAGCAGCGAGGCCTCAATGGTCCAAGAATAGCTCCAGCTTTGCCCATATCTCCAGTGTAGACTGTCAATTCAGACTATGATACTGGGTTGGCCATCAAGAATTCTAATCACAGTCTTCTTTATCTCCAGTTCTCTAGCCTGGACAGTACCCTCCTTGTTCTGTCTGTGGCTCCAGTGGGTATGAAATGCTAACCTCAATGCCAATAGCAGTTATATATCATTTCAATAAAATAAAAGAAGATAATAAAATAAAAGAAGATGTAGTTACGTTTTCTCTCTCCATAGGCTCCTGGTGGTTGCAATACATCCCCTGCCAGACGACACCACCCAACTGGGAAAATATCTCGGCAATAGTACTTGCACCAGTAATCAAAAGCTTCACTCCAGCCATCGAATGTGATATGAACTTCGTCTCCTCTCACACCTCCAATAGTTGCAGGACATATCATATCCGGGTTCTTTTTGTCTACAGCTTCTAGTTTCATCCCCACTTTAAAGTTATTTAGAGGTGGCATTGGTGGTTCCTATCAAAACATTGAAAACGTTTTCATTGTTTAGATGTATTAAGAAGCATTTGCTCAATTGATTCTTACAACCTGTAGCAACCAAAAGTTGAGTTCTATGAATATCAATTAAAATACAGGAAAAACAGTTCTTACAAATCTCTCTGCAGCTCTGCTCTGCAACATCCCACTTACTCGGGAGCAGAGCCAAGAACCTGGAAGAAAACAAAATCAACCTGACAGTAATTCAGACATTCATTTACTCATTCATTCAAGAAATATATATTGTACACTATGTACCAAGAATTCAGGATTCATTGGTAAACAAAAATATTAAAGATGCCTGTCCTGGTAGAGCTTAAATTCTAGTGGTGGTAATGATAAGATTATGGGCTGAGTGGGGACAAAGGGAAGAAGCAATCAACAAGGAAGTTTAAACGATGGAGTCAAATCAATAAATATAAAAATTATAGGTGGTAAATCTATAGAGAAGGCAGACACAGGAACATGAAAGTCATATATATCATATATATGATATCCAATCCAGAATACTTAAAAAAAAAGTATGCCTTAGTTTCAAAAGTTAAAGCATGCAAATGCTAGTAGGATTCTTAGAAAGCCCAAGTGCTATGTTGAAGGCAACATCTTTTCTTTCAATTTGAATTTTATCCTAGTAAATGGCACCATCAGCTCCCTAGTCATTCAAGCCAGAAGCCTGGAAATAATCCTAGACCAGTGGTTCTCAGCCTAACTGAACATTAGACTCATCTGATGGCCACACCACAAGAGAAAGTATTAAACTGCTGGGTGGGGCCCAGGCACCAGCAACTTTTAATTCCCCAGGTGATTCTAATGTCCATTCAAGGCTGAAAATCACTGTCCTGAAGGCATCCTTTTCCATTAAAACTCACATTCAAAGACCACGACCTGCCAATTCTACCCTCTAGATCTCCAGAAAACTAACATTAAATGCTAACCTCCAATTAGTTAGTATATGACAAGACAGTTTTCTATATATTAATTTAATTCTTACAGTACCCTATGAAGTCAGTGAAATTATTATCCTCATTTTATAAGTGATAAAACTTATTCACAACTGCCTAAGAATACACCATAGTATTAGAGCTAGATTTTAAATCTAGGCAACCAACTCCTTGCAACACCTTACCCCATCATCTGCCTGGCCAACTCCAACTCATCCACTTGCAAATCCCAGTTTTCTTGGTCTCTTAAGGCTTCCCTGACCAACTCCTTCCCACTCCTAGGCCCACCTCAGAGGCAATCTTGCCTTCAATAAAGAAACTACAGTGGAATGTGTTCACTCCTCTATGAGATGAATGGATTCTCAAAACAGGTCTTATTGATGTTATTTCCAGCACAGGACCCAACAGCAAGCAGTTAAAAAAAATGAATGAACCAAGAAATCACATGAAGAACAGTAAATAAGCTCTCAACTAATTCTTTAACCAAGATATAATTTAAGAAATATATCTGGTAGGTTGGTCCCTTTTTAAAATGCCTCTTTAAATCCATTTCATTATCCATATTTTTCCACTGTTATCCTTTACACCTTTGCAATTTGAAAGCTCCTTAATTATTAGCCCTCAACATTCTTTTAATTACACACTCTTAATTTGATTATTTAAAACCTCCCTGAAAGTAGACAGAACAAAAATTAGCTTGAGCAAATATCAAAGTCTATGTAATAAAAGCCTAAGCCATCATTATGGTGGAATGACCAGAATGACTGGTTGCTATGATGCACACTGACCACCAGGGGGCAGACACTCAATGTAGGAACTGTCCCTGGTGATCAGTGCACTCCCACAGGGACAGTCCCGCTCAGCCAGAAGCCGGGCTCACAGCTGGAGAGTGCAATTGTGGTGGCGAGAGCCTCTCCTGCCTCCGGCAGTGCGAAGGAGAAGCAAGCTGAGTGGTAAGGATCCTGCATCTAAAGAGCACTTAGCTGAGCCATAAGGAGTGAGCAGGCAGGCAGTAAGGAGCAAGGAATCCCAGATTGTGAGACAGCTGCTGACTGCCGGCTTAGGCCTGAGCCCTCGAGGGGGCCCAGACTGCGAGATGGCACAGGCAGGCCACCCTCCCCACCACCAGCGCACGAATTTCATGCAACGGGACTCTAGTATTTAATAACTAAACAACTGATAAAAAACAAGATTTACATATTGCCACGAAAAATCAATTATCTATTACCATATATGGGACAAAGGGGGGCATATTTCACAAAAGATAGCCTTGGTAGTTGATAAATTTGTGCTGGACATTCACAGAATGCAGGAAACATTCAAGGCACACATAAGAAACCCAGGACCTTGCCAAAACTGGTTTGGCTCAGTGGATAGAGCGTCGGCCTGCGGACTGAAAGGTCCCAGGTTCAATTCCGGTCAGGGGCATGTACGTTGGTTGCGGGCACATCCCCGGTAGGGAGTGTGCAATAGGCAGCTGGTCGATGTTTCTCATCGATGTTTCTAGCTCTCTATCTCTCTCCCTTCTTTTCCGTAAAAAAATCAATAAAATAAAAAAATAAAAAAAGAATCCCAGGACCTTAAAATGTCATATGACAGAATAAGAGAGACTTTCTGTAGCAAAGGAAATTAAGTTCAAATGGAAGTACAAAGTTATTTTCCAAAGATTTTCATACTATTTATTAATTCTTCTAAATTTTATAAGTTTACTTATCAAATTTACTTACATCAGTATACCTATACAAACAAATATTAAAGAAAGAAAACAAATCTTTTTTTAGTGTTTTTTTTAATTGATTTTTAGAGACAGAGGAAGGGAGAGGGAGAGAGAGAGAAACATCAATGTGAGAGCAAACAGTGATCAACTGTCTCCTACATGCCCCAACCAGAGATCAAGCCCACAACTCAGGCATGTGGCCTGATCAGGAATCGAACCAGCAACCTTTCAGTGCACAGACAATGCCCAACAAACTGAGCCACGCTGGCTAGGGCACAAATCTTTACTTTTGAAAAAGAAAACTGCTCTTTTTGTATAACATAGTAAATTAAAGAGCTTTACCTCAAAATAAGGTACCTCCAGATTTAGATAATTAGCAAAATGGTTCCCTCTGCTGTCCATGAAAGGTAATGATGTTGCTTTTAAATGATTTTAAAGAATATGCTTTGTCAACATCAGTTCTTGAATGACTTCCTAACATAAACATATAATTTGCAGAAGCAATAGTAAAATAAACAAGGGGTCATTGTCTTTTCTTTTACTGTGATAAAAAAATGATTCTGTTCAAGAAGATGGCAGTAAAGAACGCTTTTTCAACCTCCTTCCTCATACCTACAATATGGTTCTCAAAGGATATTTCTTCCCAAATCCCACCAACTCTGAAGCCAATCTCAGCATTACCTGCACTACTCCTCTGCCTGAAATATTCTCACCCTTATAACCTCATGGTTCGTTCTCTTCCTTTCTTCAGATATTCACTCAAATGGCACCTTCTTAGCAACACCTTCTTGACTAATCTACACCTTCCCTTATCCTTAGTATACATATAACTATGAAACATAATATATGCATACTTTATTTAGCATGGTTTGTTATACATTCCCAGCTGGAAGGTAAGCTTTATAAGGGCAGGAAAGGTATTTTTTTTTATTCTTTTGTTTAAAGCTGTATTCCCAGAGTCTACCTCTGACCACAAACTCCTATCCTTAACTTCTATTTCCTTACTTTTAATCAACTATTTCTTTGACCTCATCAAGAATTCTAGTCCTTCCACCTTCATTTACTCATTTACAAATATATACTGAGTGACTACTACATGCCACACATTACTGCAGGTTCTTGATATATATTAACTAGCAAAACAAACAAAACCCCACCCTTGTGGTGCTAGTAAAGAGAAAGATAAGAAGCCATGATAAAGTAAGTAAAATATATTCTATGTTAGAAATAAGTGCCATGCAAGAGAGAGAGAGAGAATAGAGAAGAATAAGGGAGACCCAAAGAACATTGTATAGGGGAAGTTGTGTGATTTCAAATAGGGTGATCAGGACAAGCTTCATACAGAAGGTGATAGTAAGCAGAAATCTGAAAAGAGGTGATTATTAACCATGCAGCTATCTAGAGGAAAAGTGTCCGAGGCAGAACAGCCAGGACCTGAAATGTTCGAAACAGCAAAGAAACAAGTACAGCTAAAATGTAGTCTGCAAGTATGAGAGCAGTAGGAAGCGAGGTCAGAGAAAGAATAAAGGGTCATATTATGTAGAGTGGTAGAGGCAACTATAAGAACTCTAGCTTTTATTGGGAGTAAAATGGAGAGCTCCTGGACGGTTTTGAGCAAAGGATTGATATAATCTCACCTTTTTTCCAAAGGAATATTCTGGTTGCTGTGTTGACTAACAACTCTAAGATTATAAGTAAAGAGACCACTGAGGAGGCTACTGCAGTAATCCAGGAGAAAGATAAAAGTAGCTTTACCAGTCTGATAACAAGGGAGATGTCAAGAAGTGGTTGTATTTTGAATATATTTTGAAGATTGAGCCGATAGGATTTCCTTATGAACTGGATACAGTGTGTGAAAGAAATAATCACCAAGGTTTCTGGCCCGAGGAACTAGAAGGATAGTTGGGAAAGGCTGCAAGAGGAGCAGTTTGAGATATATATTAGACATCCAAGTGGAGATGTAGAGTAGGAAGGCTGAATATACAAATCTGAGTTAGGAGCAAAAGGTCTAGATTAAAAACACAAATTTAAAAGTTACCTGCATATAAAGTGTATTTAAAGAGAGAAATTAGATGAGGTCACCAAGAAATTAATAAAGATCAGAGTTTCTCAACCTGGGCACTATGGCATTTGAGGCAGAACATTCTGTTGTGAGGCTATCCTGTGCATTGTAGGATGTTTAGCAGCATCCCTGGTCTATACCCACTAGATACAGGTGGTACCCCTACACAAAGTTATAACAATCAAAATTGTCCCCAGATATTGCCAATGTTCCTTGAGGGCAAATCGCTCCCCTTCCCAGCTGAGAACCACTGATAAAG